ACAGAAGATCCAGAGGTTTGGAGTACAGAAGCTTATATGCTGACTGGTGGATAAAACTGCATCTGAGTTACCAACATATCACTTGACACTGGCCTAGTAAGTTCTTAGGGTGAAGTTTCTCAAAAGACCCAAACCAGCTCACCAGAAACAAGAGAAGGTCCTGCACTACCTCTACCTTCCCCACTTCCCCTACCCTAAGCCTTGCTCCTTCCCACAGCCACATTCCTTCTCACCACCAGCTCAGACACACAACCTCTGCACCTGCTCCCAGGCTTTCAAAGTTCTCCAAAATCGCTAACATAACAGAAAAAAAAAATATGCTTTTTTTTTCGTCAGATTAGTTTTCTGATATTTTAGTGAGTGAGATTAGCTCATGATGAGCTCACATGCCTTGAGCTAGCTCAAGATGACCTATCATGGTGTGCAGCTAAGAGCAAGGAAGAGTAGCTCGAGTCCATCTCCTTTCAGCAACAGCAATCAAGAATCACTTGATTCAGACTAAACTACACCAACTCAATTTAAAACAATCTCAGTCAACTTTGCCATCTTCTTGCCTTTCTTCCCATCCTTCCTGTTTCTGCCTTTTATTTGGCACCAGGACTGTAGAACACTGGGTCTTACAACAAGCCAGCTCAGGGAGCTAAACTAGCAAGAAACTTATTACATTAACTATCACAGAAGTCTCATATTGTACTTTAATCTGGCAGCTCTAGTGCTTTGGAACATTCGTGTCTGACAAGGGCAATTCTCCTTCATCCAAAAGGTCTAAATCAGAAAGAGACTTTCCATACTCTTGGTACTGAATAATTGGTTCTGAATAATTGGCTCATGGTCACAAATTCTAGCAATTCTCCCAAATGAAAACCTCCTTGGACACATGCCAACACTACATACAGGCTTTTTGTTGGATGTGTAATGAAACAGTACAATTAGAGACACATTCACTTTGACCATTATGCAATTTGATTTTACCTTTTTGGATCAAAAGCTTCTCCACCTCTGGAACCTCCTCCAGGTGTTCTCCATGCCAGGCGTTCAATGTATTCATCTGCCACAAAAGGCTCCTAGTCACAGAATGAAAACTCCTTACAATGAGCCTCAGCAGGTTGATCCTTAAGCAGCTGCTTACACATATTTTGAAAGAGTTCAGAAGCTTTACCACAATGAAGAGCAAGTACAGTGTTGACAATTACCCCATCACCTCTTATATTTACATATTTCATCTAGAGAGCACCAGTCTAAATATGGTGGATTTGAACACCTAGAGATTGCCAGGCTACCAGCAAAGAATTTGCTGCAGGTCTGTAAAGGGTTGGCCATAAATGATATGCCCTTATTTCCACATGAGTTTATGGCTTGTTACAAAGTGTCTGAACCATACAGCAGTTACACTGGTTTGAGATACCACATCAGGAGACATCAGCTGTGCAGCAAGTCAGATAGGAGAACCAAGCCATCTAAAAAATTATGTGGCAAAGTAAGTTTTAGTTGCAGCTGCTCAACTCTGGTGCCCTTCATAACATGTAACCACAAGTGGAACTGACCAAGGCACTGTCCTCTGGTAGAAACAATGTGAGATTGCCACTGAACACTATGTAACATCAAACTGCAGCTGCAGAAACAGAGCAGATAAAAACGGAGGGAAAGAGCAAGCAGAAAAACAGATTAGGAACTTGACTTCCCTAAGAAGGAAAAACAGGGCACAAGTGATGTTTAAAACACAAGGTTACTCAAGTTTCTTCCATAATATTTCTTGGGTCTTCCATACAAGTAACTCACAATTATGAAGAGTTAAGATTGTTTCCCCACCCAACAATGTTTTCTGAAGGCAGAGACCTCATTGTAAAACCAAGAGCTCCTATTTCAGTTGGCCTAATACTTAAATCTGTTCAAACATTTCCCCACATAGTGGGGGATAGTTAACATTAAATCTTAAAAACATAGTCCAACACTTATTCCTTAAAGAATTGGCATTTATCACTTCAGTTTCATTGGTCACCTAGCAGCATTGTTTAGGTGCTAACATCAGCACACCTAAGAGTGTGCAGATATGGCTGCCCCCTCCCTGGAAGTGTTCAAGGCCAGGCTGCAAGGAGCACTGAGCAACCTGGTCTAGTGGGAGGCATCTCTGCCTATGCAGGGGGGTTGGAACTAGATGATCTTTAAGGTCCCTTCCAACCCAAACCAGTCCAGGATTCAATAAAGACCAGTAAGCAGAGTATTCTCACAACTCCTCACAAGCTTTTAAATTACACTCAGCAATGGCTCCAAAACTGTGAAACACAATCCAACACAGAGTCAGGAGTGGTATTTGCCACAACTCCTTCCTGATCATGAAACATGTGAATAGGCCACCACTTCATCTGATAAAGCCTGGTTTAAAAAAAGTAAATAAAGAAACAGACCTCTACGGGTCTCAAATTGGTCCCTGTACCAATAGGTCTAAAACCTTGCCAGAGGCAATAGGGAGGGGGAAAACATAATTATAGTGTTATTGAAATTATTAAAAAGCAGTGAACTTGCTAGTTCAAGGTTTGCCATTCCTCAGAAGCACATTATACCCTACTCAGTCAGGCCCAGCCATTCAACAAAAATAGAAAAAGTATTTTAAATATCCTTTCCAATGAGCTGAACCCTGCTAGTCAGGACAGAAATTTCATCCCTCCAACAGATCACCCTGTAACTCCTCATTCAAAGACTGTCCAGAGTAACTGTGCTTTGCTCAGCCTCCATGATTAAGCTTCAAAAATAACTGGTGATATCACACACAAACCATTCCTCTACAAGTCACTCATCTCTTTAACCCAGCTCTTCCTGATACACAATGTTGTCTCCTTTAAGTGGATTCTTCTCAAAAAAAGTTATAACATGATGTTTTTGTACCAAGCATAAACTCTCTCCTTATGTCATCTTCATATTTAAACGTTTGGGAATACTACTGCAATTTTAATTATAGGTGAATGGAGCCATTCAATACAGGAACATTCCCTTCAGAGGAGTCCTCCAGCTTCCTAATTACCTTATGGCTCTTCACAGCACTTCTCCTTTATATGAAAATCACAACCACAACTTTTCCTCTGAAGATTCTGCAATTCAGCTGGAGTACCACTCCAGTTAGAAGGATACCAACACTGAGAACAGCATTATGGAAGAACCCTATATGAAAGGTGCACTCTTTACTGCTGTGCTGTGTGTATATATAACACTATCTACACTTCTCCCTTCAGGTGTTCCTACTAAAAGGTAATTCACATACACACACATAATGCCCTTGAATTTTAATTTTTTTTTTGCAGAGCTACATTCAAAGTTTTTCTGTATGCCTATTAAGGTCTCCATTCCTAAGGAAATCTGATATATGTACCCTAGACTAACAAAACAAATAAATTATAATGACAATCTTCCTCTATTCATTATACTCCTCTGATGCTCCCCTAAGAGATTCAGAGCACTCGCAGCTCCCTTCCCTGCATCCCAAAAACTAGCTGGGCACGTGGCAACACCCGCTGTGATTGACCCCAAGCTTGGTGTCACCCAACCAGCCACAAAGCCAAACTGAACTGGCAGTAGCTCAGTCCTCTCCCCTGCCCTTCCCACAGTGCAGGCACTCAAGTGCATCCCCCTCATCCACAAGGCTCAGCCTGTCTCCCATTCTGCCCCTTCTGCAACATATTCTGCAAAAATTACAAATCCACAGTTTGTTTTAACTACTTGACACATCAGCAGTCTTAATAGGTTCAGTTATACCTAAATGATGGCAGAATCACTGCAATATGCAGGTGTAGCAATATTTTAAAGGGGCATAACCTGGAAAACAATTTTTTTCAAAAACACAGTTATACAGGAGACCTGTTCTTCAGCTTTTTAATCATATGAACTCTGGTCTGTATTATTTAAGAAACAGTAAATGCAGCAGACATTATTATGTGTAGAATAATGACCAACAGAGAAATAAAAGCAGCTTTTTCTTCCAAATTTCCACAAAGGGTATGCTAAAGTAATCTATTCATACAGAATAAATGAAGCTCAGCTGTGTCTTTTTAAGGCATGATTTCACAGGTTCCAGTGCAAATTCAAAACTTCTGTTCAGAAGTTTTGTTTGTATATCATGTCTTCCATATACATTTGCTCCTTTTTAATGCTATCTAGATAAGAGGTTACCTGTTGCAGACAGTTGAATTCCTGGTTTAAGTTCTGCAGAAATTATCCAGTTCTGCAGAAACTGCTGAATATCAGCTATCACAAATGTCATTTGCAAGTCCTTTGCCTGTTATCAGATGAGCCCCAACAGTCAATTTCTTCTTTGAACTTCCTTCCAGCTCTAGATGAATTACTGTGCTTCTATCCATTCAGCCAACACTACTGATTTAAGAGATATGCCTGAAGTGGATGATACAACCTGGTTTGATCTGGTCTCTATAATTGAAACTAAACTGGATCTAGCTACATTAAAGTCCAGTTTAGAAGTAATCGTTGATAAATTACAACTTGAGTTATACCAGGGAAAACTGAGTCCATGTTGTGACCATTTCCACCAGAGGTCTTTCTACACAATGTCAGGTATCTATACTGAAATTGACTTTGAAACACATTTCAATACAAGCATTGCAGGACAACACTACCCTCACAGTATGCAGCCTGGGGTTACTCCCATAATAAACATGTCTTCATGTTCTAAGCTTCGTGGCAGCAACTTCAAACTAACAGAGCAGGCAGCATTTCTTTATTGATCGTGAACAAACCTCTCTTGCCTTTGGAGCGAGAGAGAAGGAAAAGCAGGAGAGAAAGAAATTCTGGTTTCCATGTTGGAAAGCATAACTCCAAGCCCTACCTCTAGGCAAAGGTCTCACCTGCTTTGCAATTTCATCTTTAACACTACTGTAAGATGGAACAAATTGTTGTATGACCCAAAGCAGCCAAAACAGAGAGTTTTCTTTCCACATCCAAGTTATCTCATGTTCAACACCCCATAAAGAACAGAACTGCATTGTCATCACAGTGAGAAGTCAATGGACCCCCTGAACAGCTAGAGAAGTGCAGTAAGGGTATAAAACCTGGTATCTCCTCAGACCATGGTATGTTAGTCTTGCTTCTTGTTGTTGTGTTTTTTTTTTAAGCCATGCAAGCCAAAAGATATGAGTCATAACACTCATGTGTCATACCAGTGATTCATAAATACAAGTGCACACAATGCATTTCTGTAAGCCACAGATATAGGACCTTCCAGAGAAACAGGAAGACCTTTCCTGAAGGCTGAGCAAAGCGTGTCCCGGTGCTAAGCCACCAAATGAACCACCAGCTCTCGATGAACTCAGTGAGAACGGGGGATCCCTGCTAGGGCTGCCACATCCCCCTGCGCCAGCAAACGGGAAGAAACACTTTCTGTTAGTCACACCATGCAAGCCTGTGAGGTCCAGGCGAGAAGAATTTCCCAGCCTCCTGCTATACCCCTGCCCTGCTCCTGCAGGGCCCCGGGCAAGCGACTCAGCTTCTTGTGCCTCAGCTCCACAGGGAGGGCAGAGCGACTTCCCGATTTCGGAGCAGCCAAAGCCGCGCCGGGGAAGACCGGGGGGGCTGGGGAGGGGGTCGGCAGAGCCACGTTCCCGG